TTCTACAGCCGTATAGATACAACAAGAAATGAATACAATAAGAAACCCCATCTACACCAGGAATAATACAATAAGGTATGCTTTCAACACCAGTCAAAATACAGCAAGAAAATCATACATCATACAGTATGCTTTCAACACAATACAGTATGCTTTACAGTCAAAATACACAGTATGCTTTCAACACCAGTCAAAATACAGCAAGAAAATCATACATCATACAGTATGCTTTCAACACCAGTCAAAATACAGCAAGAAAATCATACATCATATAGCAAGCTTTCAACACCAGTCCAAAATACATCATGAAAATCATACATCATATAGCAAGCTCAACACCAGTCAAAATACATTGAAAATCATACATCATATAGCAAGCTTTCAAACCAGTCAAAATACATCATGAAAATCATACATCAATAGCAAGCTTTCAACACCAGTCAAAATACATCAATGAAAATCATAATCATAACAGTATGCTTTCAACACAGTCAAAATACATCATGAAAATCATACATCATATAGCAAGCTTTCAACACCAGTCAAAATACATCATGAAAATCATACATCATATAGCAAGCTTTCAACACCAGTCAAAATACATCATGAAAATCATACATCATATAGCAAGCTTTCAACACCAGTCAAAATACATCATGAAAATCATACATCATATAGCAAGCTTTCAACACCAGTCAAATACATCATGAAAATCATACATCATATAGCAAGCTTTCAACACCAGTCAAAAATACATCATGAAAATCATACATCATATAGCAAGCTTTCAACACCAGTCAAAATACATCATGAAAATCATACATCATACAGTATGCTTTCAACACGTCAAAATACATCATGAAAATCATACATCATATAGCAAGCTTTCAACACCAGTCAAAATACATCATGAAAATCATACATCATATAGCAAGCTTTCAACACGTCAAAATACATCATGAAAATCATACATCATATAGCAAGCTTTCAACACCAGTCAAAATACATCATGAAAATCATACATCATATAGCAAGCTTTCAACACCAGTCAAAAATACATCATGAAAATCATACATCATACAGTATGCTTTCAACACGTCAAAATACATCATGAAAATCATACATCATATAGCAAGCTTTCAACACCACAAAATACATCATGAAATCATACATCATATAGCAAGCTTTCAACAACAGTCAAAATACATCATGAAAATCATACATCATATAGCAAGCTTTTCAACACCAGTCAAAATACATCATGAAAATCATACATCATACAGTATGCTTTCAACACGTCAAAATACATCATGAAAATCATACATCATATAGCAAGCTTTCAACACCAGTCAAATACATCATGAAAATCATACATCATATAGCAATCTTTCAACACGTCAAAATACATCATGAAAATCATACATCATATAGCAAGCTTTCAACACCAGTCAAAATACATCATGAAAATCATACATCATACAGTATGCTTTCAACACGTCAAAATACATCATGAAAAATCATACATCATATAGCAAGCTTTCAACACCAGTCAAAATACATCATGAAAATCATACATCATATAGCAAGCTTTCAACACGTCAAAATACATCATGAAAATCATACATCATATAGCAAGCTTTCAACACCAGTCAAAATACATCATGAAAATCATACATCATATAGCAAGCTTTCAACCAATCAAAATACATCAAAATCATACATCATACAGTATGCTTTCAACACCGTCAAAATACATCATGAAAATCATACATCATATAGCAAGCTTTCAACACCAGTCAAAATTACATCATGAAAATCATACATCATATAGCTTTCAACACGTCAAAATATCATGAAAATCATACATATAGCAAGCTTTCAACACCAGTCAAAATACATCATGAAAATCATACATCATACAGTATGCTTTCAACACGTCAAAATACATCATGAAAATCATACATCATATAGCAAGCTTTCAACACCAGTCAAAATACATCATGAAAATCATACATCATATAGCAAGCTTTCAACACGTCAAAATACATCATGAAAATCATACATCATATAGCAAGCTTTCAACACCAGTCAAAAAACATCATGAAAATCATACATCATATAGCAGCTTTCAACACAGTCAAAATACATCATGAAAATCATACATCATATACAAGCTTTCAACACCAGTCAAAATACATCATGAAAATCATAATCATATAGCAAGCTTTTCACACCAGTCAAAATACATCATGAAAATCATACATCATATAGCAAGCTTTCAACACCAGTCAAAATACATCATGAAAATCATACATCATATAGCAAGCTTTCAACACCAGTCAAAATACATCATGAAAATCATACTCATATACAAGCTTTCACACCAAAAATACATCATGAAAATCATACATCATATAGCAGCTTTCAACACCAGTCAAAATACATCATGAAAATCATACATCATATAGCAAGCTTTCAACACCAGTCAAAAATACATCAT